ACCCTCTCATCAGGCAGGATGGGCCAGGGGCCTAGAGGCCCCCTCTCAGGAGCTGGGGGCCAAGGCCAGACCTCCCCTCGCTAGAAAACACTCCTTGCTCCCAACGGCCTCCACACCCTGCTCCCCAGGGACTGCTCCCAGTCAGGGGAAAGAGGCTGGCATCTCTCTCTGGAGAGCAGGATTTGGCACCAGGCAGAGGTGGCCCAGGCATGCAGCCTCGGGGAGCAGAAAAGGACGTCCCAGCCCCGGGTCTGCCCGTGTCAGAGGGAGGGGGGAGGTCTGGGTCCCTTGCCGGCCCCAGCAGAGCTCCCGCCCTGAGAGGACCAGCCCTGCTCTGACAGCCACCTGTCTCTGCTGTCCCTCACCTCTGGCCCCCCAGGTCATCGCCACCATCCCCACCAGCCAGCTCAAGTGCCTGAAGGAAGCAGGGCACGGGCCCGGGAAGGATGAGATGACTGACGAGGAGCTGGCCGAGGGGGAGGAAGAGATTGACCACGCCGAGCGGGAGCTCCGCAGAGGCCAGATCCTCTGGTTCCGGGGCCTCAATCGGATTCAGACGCAGGTAAGCCGCCGGGCCACTTGGCTACTCTGGCTTTCCCGCCTTGAGAGGGTGGCAAGCAAGCAAGAGGCAGAGAGTGGGCGAGGTGAGCCCCCTACCAACAGGGAAACCCTTGGGTCTCGCTGCCGCGGTGACACGGGCCATCCCCAGGTGTGCCTGTTGCCGGGTGGCCTATCTCTGCCACCTCCCTCAGAGCCCAGCCCCCCCCCCCTCCGTGCTGGTGTGTGTTGTGACCAGTAGTTGTCTCTTGGGGGGCACAGACCGCCCACTGTCTGCGTAGCTGCTGGGCCTTGCCTGATTCGCTGGAAACAGCCCAGTCACAGGGAGGTGACGTTCTTGGGATGAGACAGATGCCCATTACAAATAGCCTTTGGTGAGCTCACCGTTCATGGGTTATATTGGGTATTCTATGGAAGCAGACTCGGGCCACAGAGCTGGGCCTTTCTGCTCATCTCAATGGCCACGTATCAGAACTGGTGGGGACCAAGACCCCCATAAGGTCAGATGGTCACAATGACCACTCGGCCATGGGCACTTTCCAAGGCTTCACGAGACTCGCCTGCCAGAGCAAACCCTGTTCTTTGCCTCCAACCCTCCCCAGTTAGCCTTCTTGCCAGAATGTTCCATATTCACTGTCTCTCCACATCCTTTCCTCACACTCACTTGTGATCCCACCACAGCCTGGCCTCTGCCTTCAACGTCCCAGAGGCAGTTGTCACCAAGGCCTGTAAGACCCCTAGCTCCCGGACTCGGGCTGTCCCTTCTTCCCAGCACCCTTCCGTAAGGGCAGTCAGCCCTGCTCTCTCTGGTGGCTTGCTGTCCCCTCCATCCCAGTGTCTGCTCCTCAGCCTTGCTTGCCTGGCTCCCCCACTTCCCACTGACACCTTGGTCCACCCTGCTGTGGCCCTCACGTGCTGAAAATCCCACAGACCTGGGGGCACTGGACTGTGTACGGAAGGAAGGAAGGAAGAGCAGGTGAGAGCTGAGCCCCAGCCCTCGGCCCCTCTCAACTGCAGCCCCCCCTTCCTTCAGCATCTCCTGTAGCCTCTCCTTCAGCCCCATGGACACTTCTTGGCCAATTCCCCACTGCCTGCTCCTTCCCTTGGAGCCTTCAGATGGCGACCCAGTGCCCCCCTCTCTCCCCATCTCCTTCTGTGCCCAACCGGAAATCCCCAGAGTGCCACACCTGAACCGAGATGCCCACAGTGGGCTTGGGCCAGACCACAGTCCCTGAGCCCACCTCCTTCCAGCCCCACAGCACCTGACCGATGGCTCTGTCACCTCCACTGAGCAAGCCAGAGCCCCAGACTCTCTCCCTGTCCCCCCACAGCAGCATGACCCATCAGCTCAGCTCTGCCCCCAATCCAGCCACCCCTGCCCCCCATCCTCCTGGCCTAGCCACCAGGGTCTCTGCCTGGATCAAGTCTCCCTGCTGCCTCCCTAGCCCCCAGTGACACCTGTCACTCTCTGCCACTCCTGTGCTTCCCAAAGCCCCACCTCCGGTCTTTCTCCATGTTCTGTCCAGGATCCCCAGCCCCCATGCCCCTGACCTAGCTCCAGTTGCTTTTCCTCCTGGGGGTTGCACCCGTGGGAAGAACACTACCATGCACTTAGCCCCGCCCTCCTCCAGATGCCTGCTGAGGGCCCCTGGGCCTGGGGCATGACCGGCGAGCACAGCTCTCCCCAGTATCCGCCTCCAGCCTGTCACACAGCACCAAAGGCTCATCCCGAAGAATCTTTTACACAACTCGCCCAAAGCGCCCTCAGCAGCCGGTGCCTACCCTGCCCGGGGTCTGACGCTCCTGCACACGCACCTACTGCCATACAGTCCCTGGAAGTCTCATGGGGCTCAGGCTCAGGGCCCCCCACTTCTTTCCTCCCCAGGCCCCAGCCTCAGCTTCAACCACAAGCTCTCAGCCTCCCGCCTGCTCCTCCAGCCTTTGTTGAGCTGGGCCCTCTAACGACCCCGTCCAGCTTCTCTTCCTGTCCTAGGGTCAAGTCCAGAGTCCTGACCGTGGCCTTCAAGCCCCTGCCTCTTAGCGTCATCCCACTGTGGCCCTATAACCCCTGCTGCTTTTCCAGACATGCATTCGCTCTGCCTCCATGCTGGCCACTTCCCGGGCCCCAGGACACCCCAGCTCCCACTGTGTTCCCTGGGGGCACCTCCTCCTCCCGCAGCACCACCTCGTGAAGCCTTCTCAGAGTCCACTCCCTCCTGCCCCTGTAGGCCCCAGGCAGCTGTCCGGGCTCTCAGCCCAGGGCGCTGGAATCAGGGAGGAGCAGAGTACGCCCGGCAACTTTCCAAAGCGGCAGAGTCCTGCGCTGCTCCCAGCGCTTGCGATATTGTAGGGCTGGGTGAGGTGGTCCCCAATAAGTCCATGTTTAAGGAGCTCCCCAGGGATGCAAGGAGCTTCTCCGGTGGAGAAGCAGGAGGCCAGGTCTCTGGCTCATTCCTCTTCACGGCCCGAGCACCTAGGCCAGCATGGCCAGGGAAGAGTGTCTTAGGTCTGAGCGGAACGCTGAGCGCTCAGGGGAGGAGCAGGAATAACTTTGTAGCCAGAGGTCCCGGTCTCCCCTCACTGCCTCACACCCAACTGTGAGCCCCTGCGCACCCCATCCTGGCCCCATGGGCTCTTGTCTGTCATGCCCCAGTTCAGCTGCAGAGCCCAGAGCCAGCCCTAGATGGTGGTCACTTTTCTAGGAGCTGAGACGGCAGCCCTGCCCAGTGTGAGGCATCTGGGGGCTGTGCGTCCGAGCCTTCTGTGTGCCTGGGGGCTCTTGGGCCTGCCCAGCAGCCTGGCTAGTAGAACGGGTCTCCTCAGTCAGAGTCTTGGAGTTCCAGGCCGTTCTGATTATCACACCCCCATAGACCCTGGCCAGTCAGGTCCCTACTTTGTACATGATGAAATGGGGCCCAGAGAAAAGGGGCCTTGCCCCAGGTCACCCACTGAGAGTCTCCGTCCCCTGATCCGCTAGCATATGCCTTGTCCTCTCCACAGAGGCACGCTTCCCTCCACAGGACCGTCACATTGTCACATCAGATTCACGCTCCTCAAGAATGCTGAGCCAGTTGGCTACTTTAGCTAATTTAAGAGCATCTGTTCTTTTTGATTCAAAATACCTGCTTGAAAAGCAGAACTAAAGTCCCCCAGCTTGTATGTAATACCCCAAGCCAAGGGAAACCTGCCCTAGGCAGCTGGCCCTGGATTTCTGGATTCTGCAAACAACAAAGTTGCTCCCCACACTGCTCCCCAGCACAGCTTTTCACGTTGCTAAGTGAAGGCATTTTGTAACCTGCTGCCTGCTCTCACCACCATTCCACACTAACATATCAATACACCAAAGACTTAGGGGGCGTCATTCCAGAATAAAAAAAAAAAAAAAAAAAGAGTCCTTAAAACTGTGAACGCGGAGCTTTGCGAAGCAGTCATGATGCGGTCTACTTCCCATTCCGTTATGAACCAATGAGAAGCTTCAGCAGCAACTGGGCTTTTGGGGGGGTGGGGGGGCAATTTGGAGGTATTTTGACTGATACCGTCATCCCATTGGGACACCATGAGGAGAGGTCAAATCAGAGGCAGAAAAACACATCTTTTCCTTCCCTTGTTGCCTTTGCTGCCTGAAGAGTGCCCTCTCGAGACAGATCTTAGAAACCTCTTGGCAATCTAGGGAGGAGAGGCCCCCCGGAGAGAGGGTGGCATGCGGCATGGGTCATCTTCCTTCAGTGCGTTGGGGCAGCCCCCTGTGGCCGCTCAGTGTGCCTTACACGTGGGTCTCAGTCCCTTGCTGAAGAGCGGCTTGTGTTGGTGGAAGGGAGCTCGACGGCAGAGTACATGGCAAAAGTCTTTTCCACCGTGCGTCTAGGAGTTGAAATGATGCACATCTTCATTTTGGTTGGGGTGAAGGGGGTCCGGGCACTCAAGCTGCCTGCTTCCAAGAAGCCTGGCCCCGTGTCAGACACTGCAGGGCTTGGGGGTGGCACGGGGCCCCTCGCTCTGGGCCGAGAGTAGGTAGCCAGTGGGCATCAGGCTCCAGAATGGCATATCTGCTTTGCTGCTCATGTCATCCAGCGAACCATATGGCACTTCCCAGAAATCAGATCCACCTTCTAAGGCCAAAAGAATCCGCCCCACCCCACCCCTGGAAGGCATTCCCAAAGAGGCAGCCAAGAGGGTGCCACGCTGGGCTGGCCTCCTAGAACCTAGGCACACAGTCTCCGAGGGGGAAAACATTCAGTGCGGCCACTCGGCCACAGGTCTGATTCACCCCCCAGACGTCCAGGCCAGGGAAAGATGGCGTCAGGAAGTCAGAAGACAATGGGACTCCTAGCAAGTTCACCACATGGGTCTCACTTCCCATAGACCCACCTCCCTTTTGACACCTGGGAAGCTTCAAGGGTGGGAGACAAAGCAAAAGCCACCTTTGCCCCCAGGACCCTCCGATCTCTCTGCTCTCCCCCCTGCCGTGCCTGTGGCTCCGTAGAAGGGAGCCTGATAAGACAAAGCAGGTGCTTTTGCAAAATCTCCCCTCTCTCTTTTTAAGTCCATTCTTTCACTGAGGCTGCCCACAGGGGCGCCCCCTCCAGCACTTGGATGAGCCACAGAAGGAGAGTGATGTCTGCACCTCCCCGCAAGGCAGGGCAGGCCGGCGTAGTGAGAAGCAGTGGACGTCTGTTGCTTAGAGCGATGTAAACCAAGGACAGGCTGGGGACGGGCCCCCGTACCCACATCCTCGGCGAGCACAGCCGCAGGGAGCCTCGTCCTCATGGGAGCGTGTCCTATCCCTCCGGTCTACTGGGGCAGAAAACGGGGTGGAGAACTACTGACCTAGGATAACAAAGCATTACCAGCCTCAGGTATTAGATGACAAGTGGCTTGCCATGAGCAGATGGTTCACCGCCCCCCCCCGCCCCGCCCTCCTGGTCTTCTGAGTGCTGGTCATTCACTCAGCAAACCCTCCCTCCCTTGGTGGTGACAGAGAGGCTGGCCTCAGCCACGACCACGGCCCCGTCAGAAGCACTGTCAGCTCGCGGGGAGCGGGGCGACCTAGATGAGGCTTTGCTGTCACAATATGTCCCCAGCGTGGCCCCTGTCCTCACCCAACCCCACCCCCGTGCGGTAGCCGGGACAACAGTGCAAGCCAAACTTTATCTCATTTTCTCTCCCACAGATGGAGGTAGTGAGTACCTTCAAGAGAAGCGGTTCATTTCAGGGTGCTGTGCGCCGGCGGTCTTCGGTCCTCAGCCAGCTCCATGACGTAACCAATCTTTCTACCCCTACTCACGTAATTCTCTCTGCCGCCAATCCCACCGGTGCCGCTGGGAGTGAGTCTTGAGTCCCCTTTTCTCTCATAAATGGCATCTCTCGGGGACAAAAAGCCTCCCCGCCTCTTCCTTCTCTTTTTTCCAGTCTTGCATCCTCTGCTCACCGTGGCTTTTCCGTTCTTCCCTTACTGCCCTGTCCAGTCCTTCCCGCCCAGACGGTGTGTCTCTCCAGAGCCATATTCTCTTACGAAATGTATCGAATCCATGGCACTGCTGGACCTTCTGTTCTTCTCTTTGTTTGGTTTTTTTGGTTTTCATTTAGCACTCCTTCTGTCATTGGTTTTCTTTTCTTGAACTTGTCTGCATCTGCCGATGGTTCTTCATGAACTTGGGCTGCTTCTGGTGGTGTCTGGTGTCAGGGAGGGGCTTTGGTCGGTGTTCTGTGGGGCAGCCAAGGGGAGGCATGCAGACTCAGGGCTGCCTTCCAGGGCAGGGGCGG